TCAGAATATAATTATCCAAAGCACAGATATATGCTAATCAGTTAAAAATCGGAATTGTTATTTATATAAGACCAGATTTTTTTTAAAGGGATTTAGGTACTTAACCCATATTGCACTTGTCTTTTTTATTATAATACTACATCCATCTTTTGGAGTTGTACTTAATAGGACTGAACTAATGCATAACATTTTGTTGCTGGTCTGCAATAGTTAAGATGATGTGACTCCTAAGACTTCTGGAATATCTTCGTTGTAAGAGTTGCACATGCATTTTGGAAGACTCGGTCCCCTTTAGTACTGTCCTCCCCCTCCCCTCCACTCCACCAGAAGTGTACCCAGAAGGGGTACACTCCTTTAAAAAGGTTGAAAACCCCTGCCCTGGAGCATTACAAAGGCTAGCTCTCCAGCACTATTCAGGTTAAGGGTCTGGTTCCCTGAAATGCAGTTGTCACAGATCATGTCGCTTTTGATGAAAAAAACCCTGCTACAGGACTCCCCAAGAAGAAATCTTATTTTCTTTCCTTTTCCTCAAGTACCCTTTGAGGCAAGCCCTAGCATGGCTTCTCAAGAGGCAGTCCTCTGGCTTCAGGACTCTGGCTGTTCTCTGTCCCTGGTTTCTCTGGCGATCTTTAGTACCCTGACTTCAGAGCTCTTTTTTTTGGTCAGCTGCAAAAGCGGTTTTTTCCTGCTTCAAGAGGGAGAGGTCAGGGGTCAGTGCCGATGTCCCAAGTGGTACAGCAGAAAGCTTCACTCCAAACCAAAGGTCTTTATTGTGTGAGTGCAGTTCCCTCCGTCCTCCCGTGCACTCCACTCTGTCCTATCTGGACTGTTCTTTCTGCTCTCTTTACTCTGTCTGCCCCGGGACTTTCTTTGCTCCCGAGCTCTCTGAGCCTCACTTTTTTTGCTGACCCGACCCCCCACCCCAGGCAGCCAGCCACACTCAAAACTGTTACAAAACTATAGTATTAACCTGGGGACATCACTCACCCAATAAAATGAAATGTCACTGGGAACAAATCAGGGAGCAGTCTCCAGGCCTTGCTGCTAGGCTCAGGCTGCTGTCTTCCTCTGGGGTGCAAGGGGCATCTGTGTGTCCTACTTATGAAACTATTTACAGCAAAGCATGCTCACACTGACCCCTTCCTCCCCCTCCCCAGTGTTCCCCACCACAAATGCAGCCTAGAAGTCAGCCCATGGCCTTTTTGGTCACAGTAATACCACTATGCTGCAGTATACCTAAATTGTTAAATTTAATCTTCACTTCCGCTAATTAAAAGCAGATTTCTAGCCTTCTACTATCTCTGCAACCTTGCAAATAAGACTCCTTCAAAAATTCTGTATCAGTCTAAAAATGTATAACAGGTGCTCTAGCTAGAGCTGATTAATCACTCGTTCAAAATGAGCTGATAGAAATATAGAAATAATTACTATACATGCAGTGGGTTTTGTGTAGACTTCTGTTACACTGATGACTTGTTATCTAATCCAGACTAAAGTTTTAGGTACTTCAAAGTGTTTTTCGTTTTGCACAGCAGCAGATTAAAAGTTGAAAAGCACATTGGAGAATGCCAAAGGGGTTGTTATTTTTCCTTGGAAGAGAGCGTTTAAACAGAGTTTTCTCAGTTTAATAGATTTTTATTGTATTTTAGATGTTATGTTTTGCTTTGCTCTGAGTTTTTCAAAAATGGATGTCAAGTGCTTTTTAAATAAATTGATTTATGGACTATTATACTGTTTTAAGTAGAGTCTCAATTTTTTTACACTGAACTCCCAAGGAATTATCTGCTGGGAGAGAGACTTAGCACATGTTAAAATGACTGTTAAAAGATTTTTTTTCCACCAAAATCACCAATTGTTGCCCTGGCTTTTTCATTTTGAAACAGGCATGTTTGAAGCGAAAAGTTAAGTAATTGTTACTTCCACCTTATCAGGCCCAGTGATAATAGACTCCCCAAACAGGTTGGTGTGATGTAAGGGCAGATGGAGAATAGCAAGCTGCTTGAACCCAGGCTCTCAAAAGCATCAGGTCTACCTCACAGTGCCCCTTTGGAGCTGACATGAATGTGCACTTTCTAATTCCTGTCTCCCCCCAGCCCCCCAAAATGGGATCATAATGGCTTAAAGCCACTGTTTTGGTTTATCCTGTTAAGTAAAAACTGGAATCAGTAGAGGCCTTGTAATGGAGATCAGAAAATCAGATTGAAATTATTGTCCTTTTTCAGTTGGGTGCAGTATATTTTAGCAGCAGGTTGTAATATATGAATACTAGTTTGGAAATTAGGAACTGCATCTTTTTTAATATAATCTAAGAGTGTGAATTTTAAAAAAGGTTACTAATTCTAGAATAGTTCCTTTGCTGCTTTAGTGACTGGCTGAGGGAGATATTTATCTTATGACTTAGTGATAGGTAGTATACCACCAGGAGTGAGTTTTCTTTCAGGTATAATTATTTCCTAGTTGCACTTAGTAGTTCTGTGAAGGCCTAAAATGACAGGTAGAAGAAACATTTTTTTACATTCAGAAACTTTTTGTCAAAATCTTGTTTTCAAATCTTCATCCAGATTTGCCATTTGCTACAATTTTAAGACCCTATAAACCATACTGATAAATGCCTTTTTAAACTCCAAGTAAATTAATTAAACTCAGTAAACTTCTTTTTTCACTAAATGTTGTTGTGTAGAATTGAATGAATCAGTTATTCAGTGTAAAAGCATTTAAGAAAACCAAATTGGAGTAACTTCCTTATCTCAGCTTTCAAGCTTCATCACTCTATTTAATACAAAATAAAGTTTAGACAAAGGAAATCAAATATACACAATTGAATGTGATTTAAACCACATTTTGATGACTGTATGGGCCAAGTGAATATGGATTATATTCCAGGATTGTTTTCAATAATAGTGTTACCATAGAAACTAATGCATATGCATGCTTAAGAACCCTCTGCACACTTGATGTACAGCTACAGTATGCTGAGAGAGCTTTTACTGTGTTCATTTTGTAATCTCTTTTGGACTTTTTCACCCACCTCCCTTGGATGTTTTGTATTTGTCCTATTACTGCAACCCCTCTTTCCTTCTGAATCCTGTTATTTGTTTCTTTCACCCTTTAGTCAGGCAGATATAATGCAGAACTTGCTCTTTAGGGGCTAGAGGAGAAAGGGTTGATTTAGATGTGAAGAGACCAATTGATGGCATAAGGATGAAACAAAGAGGTTGACTTCTACAAAAAAAACCCAAAACCAACTGGTTTTGTGCTTCTGAGAATTCAGAGCAGTTTTGTTTTTTGTAGCGTAGCAATTGTGAGTAGGATACCGCACTGGGACCCAGGAGGTCTAGTTGAGTTCCTGGCTCTTCCACATTCTCCCTTTAAGTTCATGGGTACAAGTTGCATAATCTCTCTCTTCTCCCATCTTTAATCTGTTTAGGTTGTTAGATTGTCAGGGTAGGAGCTGTCCCTTACTCGATGTTTGTGCAGTGTCTAGCACAGTTGGGCCACAGTTTTTATTGTGGTCTCTAGGAGTTGGTTTTAATAATAATAATAATAATAATAATAAACCTGCTGCAGAAAAACGCATTGTATCCCATTGTATCCCACTGTAGGCACTGTATGTAATTCTTGGTAGGAGTGGCCCAAGCAGTGCAGTGAAGTCAAACCCACAGTCTGGTCCTCTTACAAGTTTTGAAATTGATGTTGTTGTGTTGGGGCTTTTCTTAATTGCATGTGCAGGTGCATCCTCAAAAAACTGGCCTAGGAAACGCTGAAGAAATACTTCTCTCTGACCACGTGGATTTTTTTCTCCAATCAGCAGCTAGCTCTAGAAATATTATTCTGTTAATCCTGAAAAGAGAATAACTTTTATTTCAGCACCAAGAGGAGTTGCTTAAGTCAGGGGTCAGCAGTGTGTGGCCCTGAGAAACATTGGATTGAGCCTCTGGACCTGGGGAGGTTGGCAGTGTCCTGGCACCAAGGGAGTTGAGCAGCAGGGGCATTGCCTGCACTGTGCTGTGGACAGATGACAAGGGGCTTTGTCATGGCCAGGCAGTGCAGCAACTTGCCTGCGCCACAGCCAGGCAGTAGGGAGAAACAGTGGCAGCAGCTAGGACCTAGTGCCAGTCCATTTCAGATCCAAGCCGGGTAATTTTAGCCCACTGCAACAAAGTTTGTGAACAGCTGACCTAGGTGACTCTGGAATGCTGTTCCAATGAAAATAGTCTAAGGTATAGAGTAGGGCCTCTTGGCCATATCTTGTGCCTGGAGCCCATACATGTGGTCTGTTTAACTTGAGCATTTGGAGATTATATATCCCAAAGCTCATTTTGCCATTTTGAAGAACGTGGCTCTCAGTTGGCTTCTGGCTTTATAATAATGAAAATATTTCTGCAGTGTCAGGTTGCAACCTACAGTTTGGGCCCAAATACTTGGCTAGATGATCTGTTCAGGTCCCTCTTGACCCTAGCAACTATGAAACTTCCTAAATTATAAAACACAACAAAGAGGCTTCAAATTCACTACAGAAGATTACCAAGGCTTCTTTCCAGGAGGCAAGGAGCAAACATCTCCATGAGAATCAGTTTAGTCAAGGGGTGGGCAAAATGCAGCCCGGGGGCCGGATGTGGCCCGCCAGGCCATTCTGTCCGCGACCCTCCGCCCAAAATAATTGCCTGCCCCTGGTTTAGTCCATTCCATGCTATTCAAGGGTCTTATAAAGCCTTCATCCTCACTGTGGCATCTGAGTGCATGCAGTGGTTTAAGTGAGTTGACTCATTTGCTGCATTTCGTTGTTTCTCCATTCCCCTCTTTATGAGGAATATTTCATGTGTGGTTTTTGTTGTTTTTAAATTTATTTTAATTTTGTTTATCTGTGAAATACTGCAAGCTCTTGTCGGTGATTATCAGTATACCTTTCATATCGTCAGCAAAGACACTATGTTAACACTGCTACTGTCCAAATATTTAACAAGTGACTTTAATTTCATCATGCTTTTTCATTTAAACAGGATACAATTTTGGCAGAATTGCTTCAGATCCATAAAGAACATATAGTGGGCTACCATGAACATGACTCACTCCTGGACCACAAAGAGGAAGAAGAATTGACTGAAGAAGAAAGGAAGGCAGCTTGGGCAGAATATGAAGCTGAGAAGAAGGTAAAGTTGGATGCATTAGCTTTAGCATTAACTTTAATTTAGCATTAGCTTTAATAATGTCAGTGTGAAATGTGTGAAATATTTTTAGCTTTTTACCTTTTTTAACTTTTAAAAATAATGTAATTTTTAAAAAGATTTTAAAATAGCTCTGTGGTAGGCTTGAGGTTCTGAATAATGCTATATGAAACAATAAGTTTAAATACCATCTCTTTGAAAGCAAACTGTGAGGTATGAAAAAATTCCTTTGTGGTTTGCCATTTTGTTGCAGGCTTTTATGTGTATATGCTTCAAGCTACTTCTGTTTGATTTTAACACATTTTACCATTTTCTTTTTTGATTTGTAGTTTTTACATTTTATGTTAAACTCCAACGGGAGCTCTTTATAATTCTGTGTTTTGAAAATATAAGGAAAAGCTCTAGCTCTATTAATAGTTGCTTAAAAAAGGAGAAAAAATGAGTTTGACATTTAAACCAAACCCTAATATCCCTTCCACCTCTGTCCCTTCCCTGCTTCCCCCCCAAGAAAAAAAACAGAAAAGAAAACAATCCTATTGAGGGATAAGTACAAACCAGAATTGGTCTGGACATTTTGTAAGAAATATTGTTCCTGTCCCACTTCAAGACAAGTGCTCAGCAGATCATGATATGTAAGACTTAACTTCATTTAAAGACCCAAGAAAAGGATGATTCCTGTTCAGAATTAACACTGGCTAAAATTACATAGATATTCTGGCTAAAATTACATAGAGGGTTGCTTTATGACATAGGAGTTTTCACAGGCACCATTTATTATATCTGGCTTGTTCAGTTGCTTTCTTGCACAGTATTTCACTGTGTATCCTAAGAGAAAGTGTTTACTATATTGGCTCACATACTTCAGATATTTTGAGGGGAAAAAACAAGTATTTATCTTTTGCTATTAGCAAGAGGTGGACTTGTTTGTTTCTGTATAGAGCCATGGTTGCTATGCCACCCCTGTTCAGGCCCTGCAGTCATCAAGGGTCCCCATAATTTGGAAGAGAAGCATGCTTGCGTATTTTGCTAGCATTTTGCAGCCAGGCTTGCCTGTCTCTTGCTTTGCCATGTAGTTTGTTTGAATATTTGGGGGATTTTTTTTCTGCCTCAGTGACTTCTTGATCTTATCGTTTTTATGTTTATTTCAACTATGGGATTGTATATTTGAAACCTATTCCTTGCAAGGGGTCTTTCAGTGGCTAGAACTTGATGTACAGTATTTCTTTCAAGGCAGGTTGATCCTGTTCATCCAGTTTTTTCGGTATTCTATCAATTCATTCATTTTGGAAACCCTTGCTCTTTTGCTTCTATATGTAATAGATGTTTTTATAGCCAAAATACGTAATACTTTATCTATCTCGTAGTACTTTGCCATATACTTTTTAAAAAAAATCAAAGACATCGGGATTGAACATGAAAATGCAGGTTTTAACAAGATAGTCTCCAGCAGTATGCATGCTGGATTGTGTTATGTTAGTCCTCTTCACTGTAGAAATGTGTAAGGCCTGAACAAGAGCACTCCATCTGGCAGTTAGTAGTGGCTGTCATGATGGAATTCCAGCTTTACTCCTTCATTTCTTTCCTTTGTTCTTTTCCATTCTCTTGGGTCATCCTTTTCTTTTCTGTGATTGTTCCCACCTTAAGCCTGTATTTGGTAAGGTGTCATTCTCCCTTCTGTATGCATGCCCCAGCCATATTGAGCTCTGCTCTTTTACATATTTGCCATAGATCATTAAACCAGTTTTCTTTCATGCCTCTTCATTCATTACTTTTTCAGGTCTAAATATTATTATTGTTCCCCTCCAGCAGCTTTTCTGAAATGTTTCTAACTTATGCGTGATCTTAGAAATCCTCCTCCAACGTTCAGATGCATACAGTAGCTCAGTTTTCACATTGATGTATATTTAAACTTTGGTTTTCAGTTTTGCTTTTTCAAAGTCTTTCAAAGTGATACAAAGACTTTGTTTGATTTACTAATTTTGATAAGTGTATTTCTCTTGCTGTCTACATGTGCTGCTATCATAATGGCTAAATATTTAAATATTTCTTCTCTTATTGTATTTATATCAAACACATGCACGTAAACTGGACCCTCAAATTATCTCAAGCCTTAGTAGTAAGGCCTATATGTAAAAAAGACCTTTGTTTTCTCAAAGTGTGTTATAGTTTTTACCCGAGTTGGTAATGAAGATGTACAGTACCTTACTATACATATTCCTTTTGTTTCCAAGGGTCTGACCATGCGTTTCAACATGCCAGCTGGGACCAATATGCCCCATGTCAACTACAACACTCAAACGCCATATATTCCTTTCAATCTGGGAGCTTTGTCAGCAATGTCTAACCAGCAGCTGGAGGTAGGCAGTGAGTATAAATAGCGTAAGGTGTCCATATTACTTTAAGCATGTTTTAATTATTCTTATTAAGTTATAAATGGATAATTAATGTAATTCTTAAATATCCTGGTATTCAAGAAAATGTCTCCTGATTGATTAGTGTCTCTCTTTTTTTAAAGTAACTACTGTTTCATTTAAAATTTTACTTGTGTACATATTAGCAACACTGAATCTTGCCTGTAGATGCAACCACATTAGTAACATTAAAACAAGTAATAAAAATGTTTGACATGCACATAGTGAGTTATAATTGTGATAAGTGATGGTGAAGGTCAAAATAAATAATTCAATGCTACAAAAAAGTTTAGATGCAAGTTTAGTACTACTTCAATAATCTAGCTACCACTTAATAAGCAGTTTTTTTAAAACTGAGATTTATGTTTACTGTTAGTATTTTCTCCCTCATTACTGCAATCCAAGCTCTAGTCATGTATGAATTTTTCCTCCATGTTACCCAACTGTTCATTTGTGGCATATTGTAAAAAGGTTAAAGTATGCTGGCTTAAACAGGGGGTGAAAAGGGTTTCTAAATGTGTTGGCATGTGTTGCTTTGCACCTCCCCGTTATAATTTGTTTTCTGCTTATCTATCAGGACCTCATTAATCAAGGAAGAGAGAAAGTTGTAGAAGCCACCAACAATGTAACTGCGGCAAGAATTCAGCCCCTTGAAGATATTATCTCAGCTATAGTAAGTAAGATTGATATAACTCTCACTGGGCCAGAAGCTGGGAAAATACTGAGCAGTATCAAAGAAAAAAATGATTATTTGTTGGGTGGTGAATTGTAATTTTATTTTTATATTAAAATACAAGTCTCTCAAATAATGTTTCTCCATTAGCATAACTTGTAGTAACTTCTAATTAACGGCAGTGAGGCAATAGCATATGTGTCCATAGTAGTCTTGGAGTGTCAGCAAATTGCTCAGGCACTCCTTGTCGGTGCTACTTGCCATACAGTAAAAATACTGCATTGTCCATAGGAGAGTAATAGGTAAGCTCCACAGAAGAGTACTCCCTCTGTTCTTCCCCATCCCCTTTGTTTTAAAAGACAACATTTAGAAACACATTGTCTGAGTTGGTAAGAGTAAAGAATGGGTAACTTTGAGCTCAAGCTCTAAAACCGTTCTTTTTTTAGAGCCTTCACTGGACTCACCTCTGGCCCATGGGCATTTACTTGGCTTGCTCTTACTTTTCCACCAAAATTACATTAGTCATGTTTCATTTTCAGTGGAAGGATAATGTGACCCTGACAGAGAGCCAGGTACAGGCCTTGGCCCTAAGTAGACAGGCAAGCCAAGAGCTGGATGTGAAGCGCAGAGAAGCCATGTACAACGATGTCCTGACAAAACAGCAGATGGTAAGAAATCTGAGTGTTTTTGATAGCTGCATTTATGTGGGGCGGGCCATGTGGGTGTCAGCTACTATAACCAGCACAATATCGAATGCCGGCTTATCAGTCTTATAGGCCAGGTAATAACCATCAGTGTAACTTCCACCATACCAGGACATGCTGGTTTGGGCAATGTGGTAGCGTTGCATTGTTTATTTCCTATTTGGGGAGATATCTCATGAAGTGAGCAATAGTCTCCAAAATGTGTTCCTTTCAGGTGTTTTACTTGAAATGTTAGAGGGCCAGTGGCTTAAAGAAATTTAAAAACCTGGCATTAGACATGATGTGTGGGGTCAGACTTGTACAAAGACTATTTATCCTAAAACAGCTTGATGCCCTGGGCAGCAGAGGTGGATCCCACCGGCAACGCCAACTGTTTGTTTGTTTGTTTGTTTGTTTTGCAGCCTCTCTTCTCCCCCCTACCCCCACATCAGTGCCCTGGGCTGTCACCCCAGTCACGCTCCCCCTTAGTTACACCACTGTTATCAGCCCTATGTGTCTTGCAGTTTGCATATTTTATAGGCATACATCATAACTTGTCCCATTTACAGCTATATAGTTCTGAAAAACAAATCCAAGTGCATAAACTCTTACATGCCTCACGTCTTCCTACAAGGAGGATCCAAGTAGATCCCATGCCAACATGAGCCTGTGGAAGACTGTCCCTTTGTCCTTTGCCAGTTACTGCGAAGTTCTGAGTTTTGGCACCAAGGAATTACCTTATGAAGCGTGCACATTACTTAGGAAGCACTGACGAGTTCCGTGGGTTTAAGCTGTTTTATGAAATCGGAACCTTTCTTTGTAGGCGTTACTCCTTTGGGAAGTGTTTTCTCCTTTTGGCGTTTGTCATTAAATGTTTATTTGCCAATCAAGCTGTGGGATATTCAGAAGGATAATAAATGGTACCTGACAAAAAATGCAGTAACTAATACGTAGGAGTAATTTCACAGTATAGTGCATGTCACCATGGCAACTAACATAAATGCTGCCTGCAATACAATAGACAAGTCATTAGGAGGACGCAGCCCTAAATGGTGTTACTAACTGGTTTCTACAGTAATCAGTTAGTGAATGCCATTGCATTAGTGATGGTGATAACAATAATGCTTTTTCCTTCACCCATGGTACCCCTAGCAAATGGATTTTAACTCTGAACTTGATACTTAATGCATTGAGACAGGTCATGCACTTGTAACAGCTCTACTTTCCCCTCCACAGTTAATCAGTTGTGTTCAGAGGATACTTATGAACAGAAGACTACAGCAGCAGTACAATCAGCAGCAACAGCAGCAAATGTCTTATCAACAAGCAGCAATGAGTCATCTTATGATGCCAAAGCCTCCAAATTTAATCATGAATCCTTCCAACTACCAACAAATAGATATGAGAGGAATGTATCAGTCCGTTTCAGGTGGTATGCAGCCACCACCACTGCAACGCGCACCACCCCCAATGAGAGGCAAAAATCCAGGACCTTCCCAAGGGAAATAAATGTGATTTTGCACTTAAAGCTTAAAGGATTGTTAAAATCAGAGAAAGAACTTTTATTTTTTTAGGAATCAATGGCTTAACAGAACTCAACTGTATAAATAGTTTGGTTGGTCCCCTTAAATGTTAGCGTTTCAGCTTTGTTTAAATAGGACATAATGTTTTCTCTGATTTGTCAGTGATGTTGCCTAGAATTTTCTTACATGTTTTGAGTACAGGAGATATCAAATTGTTTTCAGTGAAAACAAGTCCTTCCATAACAGTAGCAGCTCCACAGGTTTCCTGTCTAAACTCCTACGCTTGCTTTTAGTAGCCATAAAAATATTACCAGATTTGAGAGGCTTAGGGAAGAATACAGATCTGTATATTTCAGTATGCCATTATATAACATGTACACAGCTGAGTTCTTGATTAGAGTTGATTCCTTAAATTACGGAATACTTTTCTACTTGCCCGTTTTTTGAAATTAGTGGGAGTGTTAAGCCAGAAGAAATAGTCTAATTTCCTTTTGACTGATGTCTGGACTCATGCGATATCACTTGTGCTGAATAAAGCATAGGAATTTAAAATTATCTTGAGAGAACTGAGTGCAATATTCTTAAATACTACTGCTCTGAAATGTCTGGGTCATGCAGTTATCCTGAAACTGTGTATACAGCCTTAATCCGCGACTGGAGAAGAGAAACTTTTTTTTTTTCCTCCGGTCTTCTGCCACCTTTTATTTTCGGTTTTCTGTGATGGAATAACAACTGGTCAACTTAAGGTTACAGGTTTTTATCCTTCACATGCTAATTTGCTCTATGCTGACTTCAATACAAAGCACATTTCTGTTAACTCCTTGATGCTGGTGCTAGTGTCTCTTCCCATTGCCGGCAATGGGATTTGGGCCAAGAAAATCAAATTCCTGGTATTTTGGGGGTTAAAGCAGCGATGGTGATTAGGGTCACACCCTCTTTTCTAAACAGTATCAAAACAACAGAACCATTGCTGACTTTTAAATGCATACAATGAACTGTGCTTCAGCCATTTCCAGGGCTGCCAGAATTGTGGAGTAGTTCTTCCTTTCCAGAGAAAGATCTCTGGCTGTCACTCTCTCCTCCCCCACCCTGACCTCCTGTTATTTTCCTGAGAACATAATTTAGTACAGAAGTGTGATAGTTCTACCCTTTTTTGTTACTACTACTATTTTAATGTAGACCAGAGGTAAATTTCTGGTTTATCCTTAACATCCTCCTTAGACACATCTTAATCACTTATTAGTACAGCTTGTGTGTTTCTGATGATCTAATTATACACACATAAATAGGGCTTTTCTTTGCATGTAGTTTGGTTGATACTATTTTCGTTAAAAAAAAAAAAGATTTATAGAATGTGGGAGTAACATTAAATGACAGGAATGTTTGAGGCGATGGTGTATTGAGTATTGACAACAGCTAGAAAACTCATTGGAAAGAAGAGCTGGATGGAGGGATTTGCTCTAGATATCACTGAACTCGTACAACTGCTGACATTTAACTAAAACTGATTTAATTTCTGGAATCATTCATGCAGGATTTTCTCGAGTTTTTATGTCCTGAATGGACAAGTGTTTTAGCATCTAAATATGTAAATCTTGAGATACTTCAGTTTGTGATTGAATTTTGGTTTATGCTATGAGTAGAGTTTCAGATCTGATGTAAAACCAGCTAACCAAATTGTTACTTTGGACTCTTCATGACAAGACACCACAACAAAAATCGGTATGGTCTAGTGCTCTGTCAGCTCTGTAATTAAACTTCTTTAATTCTGGGGGAGGGGAGCCAAAAAAAGAGATGTATTCACTTGAAAAGAAATGAAAAAATGAGACTTTGAGACAAACGTTTGAAGGCAAATGTTCTCTGGGCAACTGTCACTGATATTCCTACGTGTCATGAATAAGAAATTTGTTCTACCAGACCTGGGGATTTTCAATGGAGTTTTACAATAACTCGCTCAAAGACTTAAATGTGGAAGTTTTAGGCAACATTTAAAGGCACATTTTTTCATCCTGGACAAAACTATGGATAACAGAAGACTAATGCATAAGAGGATATCAGAGATAAGAAGCATTGAAATAAAACTTGGACCACTTTGCATATATGTTTCTCACTTGACATTTTAGCTGCATAATATGTGCTTTGAGTATAACATCAAGCTTTAACAAATATTTAAAGAAAGAACATTACATCAGTAAGATATTAAAAGGCTCATTTTTATATTTGTTTTAGATGTTTTAACTAGATGAAATGGCTTAAGATGACGAATAAAAATGTTGCTTGTAATACACTTTTGCCTGCTAAATTCTCCACATTTTGTAACCTGTTTATTCCTTTGGATGTAAAGCGTTTTTGCTTAGTATTGTGATATTGTATATGTTTTGTCCCAGTTGTATAGTAATGTTTCAGTCCATCAACCAGCTTTGGCTGCTGAAATCATACAGCTGTGAAGACTTGCCTTTGTTTCTATTAGACGGCTTTTCAGTTCTGTATTAAATATCTTAAGTACTGTAGAAAAGATGTCACCTCTTCCTATAAGGCTGTTTTGTAATATATATAAGGACTGGAAATGTGTTTTTAAAGAAAAGAAGCATTCAAGTATGACAATATACTATCTGTGTTTTCACCATTCAAAGTGCTGTTTAGTAGTTGAAACTTAAACTATTTAATATCTCATTTAATAAAGTGACCAAAATACATTCATGTGCCTTGGGATGCATTTTTTTTAACCTTGGTGTTGGAATCTCTTGGGGTGCACAGGGGTTCATGAAGCGCAAATTCAGGGCTGCCCAGCTGGTGCCCTGGGGGCCTCCTACCTGGCTGCTGCTCCCTCTGTTGCTCTGGCTTCTGCTGCAGCTGGAGGCTCTAGGCTCCTTCTCCACCCTAGGCTTTTACATGATGCTCCCACCCCAAGGGTCAAAGCAGCCTGCAGTGCAGTGCAGTGAGTGAGCTGAGGTGGGGATGACCCAAGTGCCTGTGGCTCACACTAACTCAGCCCCTGCTGGTGCGGCGCACAGCCCCCAGCTATTTAGAAATGGGACGGCCCTGAGCTATGAATGAAGCATGTCATTGACTTGTTCTCAAGTATAAGCTACCTTTTGCATGTTTTGTTCAGGAAAAACACTTGTAGAATCTATGTGTCAAAAGGTCTCACCTGATAAAGCACTTCACTTAAATGGTTTTTACTGTGCGCCCACGCTTGTATTTTCCAGTTTTTGACCACAGATGATGAATTGTCCAAGTATGAGAAATCATAAAGGTCAGTTCAGTCTTGTTAAGAAAACCCCAAACTTTGTCCTTGTTTGGCTACTGAATCCTGTTTTATTCACCAGTTGGCTCCTGTTCTGGAACCAGCCACAAAATAACTCCTATGCATGGCTCGTGAAGAAAAGCACTTGTATTTCTGCTCTAAAATAGTGCAATCATAAATTGCCAAAATACATCTTTCAAGGAAGGTCTTTCCTAGTGACATGAAACCAAAAATCTTCATACACAATAAAATTCATTACAATAAATTGTGAGATAAGGATCAATGCAGGGAGCCCCTGTGTTTAATCTCTGTGTAAATAATCTCTTGGTTATACATATGGCAATTTCCATTGAACCCAGTGGAAGATCCACACATGTATTGGAGGGCTTTCCAAGTTGAATGGTGAGTTCTACATGGAAAGTAGATGTCCATGAAGATTGAGCACAGTTCTGCTAAGGCTTTTAATGCTAAACCAGGTGTGGAAAGTGGGTGTGTCTGCATGCAAGAGGTGTTCAGTAAGGGAAAAAATACTTCCTTTCCCTTTTTTAAACCGTTCTAATCTGATCCTTGCAATCAAAACCTCTCAAGAGTGGCATATACAAAGGTCAATTCACAAATGGAACATAGGATTTTTGGGGAGAGAGGTCCACCTAATGTTTCATCTTATGGCAGAACAACAATCCCATGCTGTGCCAGTTAAGTGTTTGGAAAAGAGTGTAGCATCTGCAGCCTCATCAGTCCATGCAGGTAAGAAAATAGTTCTGTCCTCAGATTGTCCCTTTCCAGCTCTGCACCAGTGCTGATGTTGTCATTAATGTTTGCATTCAAGTCATGAGCATTTGTTTGTGCTTTTCCATGCTACCAAGCACAAACAGCCTGAGGGCACGTCCCAGAGTAAATGCTAGTGGGACACTCAAGGCCAGCATGACTTCAAAAGACCCATGCTGCCTGGATCTGAAGGGGGACCATAGCCTAGGAGATGGGTTCAGAGGAGGCTACTTTCTGTATAAATAGCCAGTAGTCCTGGCCCCGAGTCACGAGGAGTATGCTGATGATGACCACCCTAGGCAATTTAACAGAGTCTGTGGGAGACTAAGTTTGCCAACTTCCTTGATGTTTGGTCTCTAGAACGCTCTGACAATGTATCGCACGTTATTATGGAGATCTTCCATAAGCAGGAAGATCTGAGAAGACCCATTTCTTCTGCCTGGTGACCAAATTAACTAAATTGCAATGTAGTGAAAAGAAAAGCAGATCTGCTGTGTGGGAGTGGGACAGATAGAAGGCATGAACCTGAGGGATGCTGACTGCCTCCAATGTATTGGTTTCATAGAAAGAGGGTGCTCAGCTCCCATTTTAGGCTAAGATCCTAGTGTTCTTAGTTTGCTATTTTTTAAAAACTGGTTTTGACAGCTGCACATATGTGCCGTACTGCTTTATGAGACACCAAATGTGAAATGCTAAGTGATCCATGTGGCTTAAATCAAACCTAATCCAATGACAATAACCACTTATTACTGTTAAGAATAGCACAAAATATGTTTATCAGATTTTTCTGATTCTTGCCTATACATGTTAACAGCAAAACAGGTAGGAGCGTGTGCCCACTGTACCCTACATATTAATCTGCTGGATGTAATAAATATTTTTTATACAGATAGGAAGGAACATGAGAACCTTAGGTCTTGTGTTTAGACAACCTTGTAAATCTACCACAGCAGGTACGACAGCTACTATCCTCAACCTTTTTCATGAGGGCAACTAGAGGCAGGAGAAGGAACTAGCATTTCCAAAACTGTTTTTTTTTCCTAATTAGGCAATGGTTTGGCATGCCATGCTCTGCTTGCCATACGTAATCCTCCAGGTTGATGTGCCCTCCTCACACCTCTCCTTTGTCATGGTACCAGCAAAGATGCTACCACCTTTAGGCTGCTTCTGTGCTGAGGTCATGGCATAGCAAGCTAAGCAGCAGTGCTTCCTGGTACTCCCCATCTGTCTACATCCATCTCTTCTTGATTGTCTTAATTCTAGATTTTGGGCAGGGACTGTTTTTCTCTGTTTGTACAACAGCTGGCACCACAGGGTCCTGATCCATGGATAAAGAACCTAGGCCTACGGTGAATAAATAAGTAGTGATACGATCAGATCGCCTGTGGTTGTGGCCTCATGATATATCCTGCAATGTCAATAATCCTAAATTCTTTTGGGTGACTTCACCCAACATCAGGATCCTGTTCTAATTCTGCCACAACTGGCTGTGTGGACAAATACTTTTAATTTGGTGTCTCCATTTAGTTCTTTGTGCACCACAGTACCTCCTTCCTGTGGTGCTCTTCTTTTCAAACCTGCCATTTGCCAAGGGTAGAATAGTTTAAGAGATGGGCAGTATTTGAGACTTCAGGTTCCTGGGGGAGGAATAACAGTTTTATGGTTTATTTTTAACACCTATCTAGAGCAGGGGGATCTTCAGGACTTTGCTGATGTGGAACAGGGAGAAAGGAGCCTCCAGCTGATGATGTCATGCACCCAGCTGGCTCAGCCTTACCTTCAAGGGAGATTTTTAAGAAGAGAAATTTAAACTTTAAAACATAAGGAAACAATACGAAGGCAAACCCAAACCATACGTTAGCATTTGCTTTTACTAAGTTAAGAAAAAAGTTTCAAGTTGAAGCGTTGCAAACATTTTTTCCTATGGAACATTCCTACCAGGAGCTGCACAGCACCCTGGGGACCCATCTGCCTGCAACTGGTGTGTGGAATTTTCATTATAGAAATTATTTGATTGTAGGAAAAGCATTTCAGCCAACGCCTTTTATGCTTCTCTATTGTGCCGATCGCAGAAGCCAGCTGAAATCTATGCAAGGTATAGGAGCTACAGATATATTGGAAATGTGAAATTGTAAGTCTATCCGTACTAATTTTCTTGTCAGAAGCTGTAGTTACAGGGTGCTGACACCCTTGGAAAATGCATCACGTTTAGTGATACCCTTGGAAAATACATTACATTTAGTGCACAGACCTGCTTAACAGGCAGCCAAAATCTGTGGCCCCCATGAGGCCTGGATTCAGCAAAGCAGGTGCTTGATGATGTTAGCATTTAGGAGCCCTGTGGGCTACACAACGTAAGAATCGCCATGTCAGATCACAACAAAGGTTAATTAGCCCAATGTCCCGTCTCCAGCAGTGGCAGGTATTGGATGCTTAAGAGGAAATATATGAGAAACAGGACATGTGGTGATCCATTCCCTGTGATAACATACCAGTCACCAGCATACCTGTGCTTAAACACTTTTCAAGATCTAAACCCAGCAAGTATCCATTAGTCGGTATTGCTTAATAAGTGTGACAGAATTTTCCTTGAAGATGATGCAGTTCATGCAAAACATTTATGTTGTGGGAAAAAAAAATTAGGAGCCCTTTTCAAGGAGAAGCTCAAGAAATTCTTGGTAGACTTCCTGCGTGAACAGAAAGATTGCAGCACAGGCTCCTAGGATGGATTTTATCACTTCCCTTCATCCTTTTGCAGTAGGAATCTGTTGATTCTAAGAATCTACTGGATACTTAAGAGGAAGATGACTGACACAAGCAAAAGTTCATGCATGTTAGAACTGATGCATTGATTCATCTCACCTACCTTATCACACCCTATGGCCACATCCTGCTTCCTGTAAAATCCATGGCAAAATTTACCTTGGCCACAGTGAGGTCAGGGCTGGCCTTTCACTTTACTTGGAGAATATTCTCAACTCCTATTAGCTGAGTGTTTGTTCAAGATTTTGAAGATGAAAAGCAGCAGGTAAGTGCTAACATCATCTGCCTGTAAAATGACTTGTGTTCAACATCCAGTGAATCAAGAAGGGGGAAACAGAGGCCACAGGCAGAATCATCTGTGGCTGACTCTGCGAAGCAGTCCCGGCTATTTAGTTAGTCAGCCCCATTAACTTAGTGCCAAACGGAAACGCCTCCTTGGGTCTTCTGCTCTTTGGAAGGTAGCCTGCCTATGCGTGCAGACTGGGCATCAAAAGCTTTGTGGTCCTGCTTCCCTGGAATCCCCCCCAAGATGTTAGCTGCAGTTGCCTTTGCAAAGGGGTTACAAGGTCAGGCTTTGGCTTCTTTTTTTTAAATAAGGGAAAGGTAAAGGGCACACTTGGGACAGTTACCATAAATGGCATTGCCTCGGATTCTGACACAGCCACCGAGGACGAGAAGTTTCAGGGGTGACTCAGAGGGAAAAGTAAATAAACATTTTTGTTCCAAACGCTGGATTAAATTCCTTCACGTTTAGATCATTCAGGTAAAGCTCGTTTAATCTTTTCATTGCAACATGAAGTCTGCTGTCTGCGTTGGTTGTTGCATCGCCTACGTGGAGCTGCAAGTATGGAAATGTCTGAGATGGCTCAGTGCAGCTGTGAAGAACTGGCAAGGTCACCAGGAAGGGAAAGTAATAGCAGGTGAGAACTGGGATCATCAGCTAGAGTTTGGTTAACAACATAACACATACAAAGAGCTGATCAATAATCACCCTCACTTAAATTAAGCTATGAGCGGTATCATGACTCAGGAGACCTAAAGAGGTTGTGTTTTAGCTAACTACTCTGAAGGCAGCAAAGCAAAACTAAGCAGTAAAAACTGTGATTTCATGTTGCAAGCAAAACATTTTAAAGCAAGAGCTCCACTTTGGAGCTTTGAGTGGGCTGGTATCTCAAAACTCATTGGCTATTTGTTCTTCAAGTGCAAGTCTATTCTGGGAAGTGACTACATAAAAATTAGACCTTTCTACTCAACAGATTTGCTTCTCGTGTTCAGTGAGAATCACATTGGTTGACTTCAGTGGCAAAAACAAAATTAACAAGACTACTCTACTCCTATCAGCCCGCAACTAGGGAACAAGAGGGGGAGTGAGATTCTTGGGCCTCATCTCCAGAACTGCTCACCATGTTCTAATCATCCAATGAGAACACTGACTCTGCACAGGTGCATCAAGGACCTGACTGGGAGACACTGGGCTAATTTGCATTGCAACCCTTTTATCAGGGATAGGGGCATGTGAGAACTAGCACCTAAATCTAGTTTAATGATCAGAAATCACAAGTAGAATCAACTTGTAGGCCCCAATTCAGTAAGACTGTTTCTGTTCAGCAGTGGTTACAGATATGCTCATGCTGGGCTGAATCAGGGCCTTCACTTGAAAGCTTATAACATTACCCTGGTGCTAAGGGACAAAATTAATTATTCCATAATGGTCTTTTCTCGAAGCACCCTTCCAGGTAGAATAGCACTTTCCAGCTCTGACTTAAGAAAGCAAAGAAGGTAAATATGTGCTTATATAACCTATATGCTAAGGACAACGGAACATAAGCATATATCAAAAGTGAACTGGGGCCTGTTAGCTGTAGCAATGAAGCCTGTCTGGAAAGGTGCTGACAAGGTAATGCCAGATAGTAGTTAACCTCCAAGCAATGCCCTTTGCCACCACTGTTGCTATTATAAGGTAATTGTTTATTTTAAAACTATTGTTCTGATTCTTGCTTTGTTTCTTCTTTGGTTTTCTCTCAGATGCCACGTTTGACAGTTTTACCAGCATTAATACTGGTTTGGTTTGATAGCCAAGGTGGTTATTCAGTATGATTTCTCAATGTTATATTTAGTTTTAGAATAGATCTTTGGTCCTCATTGAGTTGCTTAGCTGTGTTTCTGAAAAAACAATGTAAGTACATATCACACATGCAATCAGAACTGTTCTGAGCTACCTTCAGCTAGTTGCTAGCAGTGCAGCGTTCGTCTGTAAAGTACTTTGAAGTTCAATGCAACGTATTATATAGAGGCTGCAAAGGAAAGGTGGTGAAGTTGTTCTGAACATGATGTAATTGTCCATCTCCTTAATATCCAGTACCAATAAGAGAGTCAGGTCTTTGTGCCACTCACTGCCTGACTTCTCTGGGGACTAAATCTTGCAGGGGACTATTTTATTTTGCCTACAATAATACAATTAAGTGAAGTCTGGATTTACTGCTCCTTGTGGATATTGTGGTTGCACATAAGTTGACGTGAGTTCTGCCATTCATATTAATGGAGGCCAGGATTTTGTGTTCCAGTTGCTGGCTCCAGTACAAAATGCCCCAGCAAAACTTTCTGATGACTTAATCATGACCTGACAAGGTACTACTCTTGTCCACTAGCCCTGGATTTAAGATATGTCTTTCTCTTTGGATAACTATTTCTGGACTTCTGGTGGTCTTTACCTCAACAGAAAACACCGTACCATTACTTGTCATGGTAGTCAAACAAAAGAACACATTAGCGAGAAATCTACAATATAAAGACAATTTTATTGCCAATAAGCTCTTAAAAACTCATTTTGTTCCTGTTTCAGTAGGACCTTACTCTTTCTGATGAAAATCTGGTCATAACATCTCTCATTAAAAATAAAATTATTTTGAAATAAATAAATATATAAAATAAATATCATATACATTTTATAAATAGTTTTGTCCTTATGCACAGTATCCATGCTTACATCTTAGTAATGTTCCCCACCCCCATTTCCACCCCAACAGCAGGAAAAAAACCATACATCAGGACCAGTCCATTATAATCCCCATAGCAAACCCCAAGGCCACTTGAGCAGGGTACCATTTGAAGGCCATTTTCTTAATAGGTCACCAACCATTCCAAGCTTATCAGCAGCATCTGTATCAGTTCTGTGGTCTTTTTCTTTCTTGTGATCAAGTTTGTTTGCTGGTTTTCAGTCATCCCTTATATTTGAATATTTCACCTGTTTTTGTAGCCATCAGGTAAAGAAAGTGAATGAAAATGAAAGATTATATGCGGGATTCCCTCCCCATTCCCCACCCCCACCCCAGAAATAACCCAGCTTTGATATACACTTTAAACAATGAGGAATGGCAGTGTTGAATTCAACATAAGTGCTTTTCTATGTTATCTAAGTTTATAGGAATGATGGAATGACTATTAATATAGTGCTCCAGGAAAAAGCTTGGGAACCCAAGTATGTACAGACTGGGCAGCTGCAGGAAACATCACCTATAATGGAAGAGGTCTCTGTACATTGCAGGTATTTTAGTAGGGTCCACAGGTCTTGGTAAAAAATGAGTGAATTTCTGATGTCTCTTAGTCCTATATCCTTCACGGGGTGAGCCGTCCTTGTTCAAAGCTACATAATAATGTCTCTCAGAATCAGGATGCTTATACAGGGTCGAGGCATATGTGTTGTACCAGTTCTCTTCAAACTGCTCTCGGAAAACGCACTCCCTTGTCAGTTTCTTCTGTGTTGGGGATTGGGGAAGAGGTGGGAAGGGAGAGAAAAGATACACGCATGAAAATACATGAAAAAATACATGCATGTATGAAAATCAAATTGGTATTTCTTCTTAAATTCCATGTCTTCCCCCTTCTTCCTTCTCAAATTCTGCAACTGTCTGGTCTCCTAACTTTGGCTCCCTCCAACGATAGTCACTGTCCACTGCCATGTGCAGCCTCATAGCATGCTTCATTTCCCATTAGTTAATTCTAGAGATGGGTCCAAAGTGATAAAAGCCCATATCCAAGCACTGCTTTGAGGGCTGTTACAAAGACCTGTGGAAAGCACCATTTGCTGATTGCTAGAAGCACAGGACCTGTCCTGTGTATATAACATAATGTATGAGTTCCTCTGTTTGACCAGATTTCAAAAAGAGAAAAGGGAATGGTTCATCTGAATGGTTTAAATACCAGTAAACTGCACTTTAAAATTTCAGGGCACATAATAATATACAATATAATTATAATAATAATATAATGAAAACAATACATAACCTGTAATCTTTTGAAAAAAGCAGATTGCTGTGGTCCATGGCCAAAATGAAAGAAGGCCTTAATGCTTAGTAGCTACGGACAGGATACTAATCCATGAAAATTTGTGGCAGAGTCTGGCCCAGATCCAGATCTGTGGTGCGACTGGTGGCAGCCTGGGAAAAATCATTGCAGTGTACGGGGATTTTGGGGTGATAGAGTTGGTGGCATGAACAGGAAATAATAGATGGAGCTATTGGGATCTCTCTGTCCTACTGAACCTGGCCAGCCAGAGCTACTAACAAGAGGCATTTAAGAGCCTGCAGGCTGTGTTCAGTTATGCTGGAGTCCAGCAATCAAAAAAATAAAAACAAGAACATCCATGTGTCCCACAGATAACTGTAACCCCACTGCGGACACTTGTAATGGGTTTAGGAATTCTTGGTGATGAAAGGCATTCTGTAAATGTAAGCTATTACAATATTACAGGCACTGTGAGGTTTGAGGTTTCCAAACAGCATCATAGCGGGCACATCTGCATGAGACATTTAGAACGGACTAATTAGCTCTGCAGTAAAGTCTCCGCGCCTACATGTGCAACCCTATTAGGTTGCAGTACACTAATAAACACCCCTATAGGTTAGTACTTGTAAATACAAGTACTATCCTGGAATGGCATTACTTACTGCACAGCAGTGGGCTTGTAGACTGACAGGGCTGGCTGGGGTATGAAGGTGCTTCAGTGTGGGGGCTGCCTGCCAGGTAGCCCCATACTGAAGCACTTTTGTGGCCCAGTCAGCCCCTCTGCAGCACACTGTGCCAGGTTGGAACAGCCCCAAGCTGACAGGCTGGCCCCCAGGTCCCCTGCCAGCTGGGGCTGCTCCAACCTGGCCCGACATACTACAGTCCCAGGCACATGTGTAAACGTGGTGCCTGGGAGCAATAAACTCCAGTGTGATATGTGCTAGAGTTTTTTGCTTTATGTTACTTGCACATGTAGATGCACCCCATATCTCTCACATGTGGCTTAGTGATTAGAGGTGAGAGTGGGCCCTGACAACCTAGGTTTCTGTTTCCAGATGTAATAGTAAAGAATGATCATTTTAAGTCCATTTTAGACATGATTAAGTAAATGATTCAACTGGTACAAGCTGCCTCTACTTTTTTATCTGTAAAATGGTGCAACGTTCAATGATGCCCCCAGAAATGTTCAGCGCCACGGTAAGTTAAGACAGACATCCTTCCTATCTGACTGCACATACTCCTTGACAAGGCTCTCTTCAGTGGTGTTTCTGTATTTTAAGGATATTATTCAGTAATATAGCCCTGTCGTGGCTTCCTTCTAAATGAAAGCTAGTAGTAAGTTTTATATGAAAGCCATTTGACCCATAAACAAAAATAAACCAAACAGGGGCACCTGGCGTGCTGAGACCCCAGGTCAAAATTCCTAATCATCCCCCATTTCTGTACTTTATGCAGTGGTGTTTTGAAACCTGACGTTTGTCATGTGCTTTGAATGCCTGGCTGATTCCTGCTAGATAATTCTTTATTTGAATTGTGATGATGCCTGAAAGCCCTAATGATAGAATAGGATTCTGTTGCCAGGTGTTGTACACACAGAACAGAAAGATGGCTCCTGCCCCAAAGAGCTTAAAGTTTTCAGCACGATCAGAATATTAGAAGTCTATTAAGAGTGGAAGGGTTAACTGTAGCTATGACTGTGCCAAAATTTTTGTCAGAACCCTCATTTGTCTGAAAAGTGATACTTTGATTCTCTATGTTGTTGGAAGCCCCCATCCAAAATTTTTTCCTAAGTAGTATAAATTGAATCACTTGGATGTAATTTTTTTACTGATGGTTTTTTTCTCAAGTGCAGCTAATTATTTTTCTTCAGTAATTTAAAAAGAGCAAATGAAATTTTCCTTAGAAAATATTCTAAGTATTAGATTATTATTAGAAAGTATTAAATATGAAGTATTCTAAGTATTAGATTATTATTAGAAATATTCTAAATATTAGATTAATATTCTTTAAGAAATGGATCATGATTACAGTTCGTATGGCTGGCACATCATTATTGATGGGTTTGCTTTATGCAAATGTTACTCCTTTTCCATGCTATTCCTTTTACATGAAGTGAACAATGCAGAAAGCTGACAGAGTTGTGTGAATAGCAGTATGTTTTGAAGTGGAAAAGGACAACTGGGTTCTGTCTGACAAAGGATGTGCCATTGACTCTGCCTGTTTAGAAATGCACAAAATGGTTTAAATGGAGAGAGAGAACCTGAAATATTGAGGGACTAAATAGTTATGTTTCTCTGGTTTCTTATATTTTCAAATTTATACAAAACTGGCACACACAAAAAAAATAATAGCCTCACTAGGAGCAACAGCCTTAAGCTGTAGCAGAGGAAATTTAAGTTGGAGATAAGGAAGAAATGACCTAGAGAGCATCCCACTTTAACTCCTGCTCCACCTGGCAACAGCAGTGGCATTCCTATTCCAGGCAGCTGAGAGAGTCCTTACTCCATAGGTGTTAATGACCATCCATCCTTTTTAGTGGTCTTGATATTCCACTAATCAAGCTAACCTTTCTCCTGGCAATTTTGCTGTCTGGTAGCTATTCCTGGTTTCTCTTCTATTTCACAGCCTTGCAGCCTGTTCCTACTCTTTTCAAAATCACAAATCCACTCTTGGGGTGCCTGCACACGAGTGCAGATCCTGCTCTGACACACTGTAATTACAGCAGATTAATCAAGTCTGCTGAAGTGCGGTAATTACTGTGCTCCAGCAGCCTCCTGTGTGTCATGTACGAATGTCCCTGTGCTTCAAAATGGTGACAGGGGCACTTGAACTAAAACTTGTTGAATGAGCTTTAGTTCAAGCATCCCTACTGCCACTTTGAAGCATGGGGTGCTGATACACAAGACACTGCAGCATGGCTTACCTCCGGAGCATGTGTAAAAATGCCCATAGAGACCAGTCTTAAGCAGCAGCTAAGGTTTCAGATTTTGCTTAAGCGAGAAAGGGAGGGTATGTAAGCCTTGTTCCTGCTCTACACAGTCATAACTCTGCAAAAAAATCTTTTTTCTTCCTTCTGTCTTCTCAAAAACAAGGTGCTTGTCTTATTTGGGGGTTTGTAGTATATGAGCAAATATGCTATTAAAAAGGTATATTCTAGCCTCCTTGATTGGAAAGAAAAGCCTGATATATGATCTAAGTATACTCAGAAGACTCAGAAAACCACAAAAAAAAAAAGAGAGAGAGAGAGAGAGAGAGAAACTCGAATTGTTTTTAGCTTTTAAAAATATTTAAGTCCTGACTCTTGCTTGTTTAATACATAAGGCTGGTGATATTACTATTTTTGCTATTGCTGTTTCATCTTTTTCAGGTATCTGACCAGTATGAGGGACAATTGCAAATGCAGTGATATGTGATGGCAGAAAATTACAATAATTTTGTATGGAAATCAATTCTGTGTCTGACTAATATGATATTGGCATTTCTGTCGCATGACATAAAGGCAGTCCAAATATGATTGGCTGGATTGTGAAACTGTTGCCTTACAACAGCAACGACTGGGCTCCCAGAGCAGGAAATAAGTTAAATTCCTAGTTTCAATAGTATAGCTATTAGTTCTGATTCCAAGAGCTGGTAAGCACATGACTCACACCAAATTTAATAGGCATTGTAATTGTACAACTCTTCTGGGTTAAAACCTTACTTTCTGAAATAAAATCTGATTTTTCCATTGTTCTTTACCATGTCTGTCATTTAAATGACATGGAAATAAATGTAAAAGCTGAGTGACCAGAATGTACATTTAGGTCCCCTTTAGTTGTGGTGCTTAAACTTTCTAACCCAATTTTTTTTGAGTACATACATGAAAATGTACTCACTTCAGTGTGATTTCAAAGAGTCTTCCTAGGCATTAAATCTGAAGGGTTCTGCATATGTGTTACTTGTTTTTTCCAGCAGGTATAATGCTATGATGGTTTTTTTTAACTGTCTTTCTAATTCACAAACATACAGTGCATAATTCAGAGAGAAAAGTGCCTTGTTTTTTGGCCTGCACTATGCACATGTAATGAAATACATTGCTATGCTATCCTTACTTATGCTGATAGGCATACAAAAATCCAGCCAACTAATGTAGGATAAATTGTAGGACAGTTAGAGTGAGTTGATAATTATTCATGAGTAGCTTATGAAAGGAAAAATAACCCAAGTTTCCAATAATTTAGAGCCATGGAGACTGCTTGATGTGTGTTCTGATTATTGCTGCTCTTGTCTTTTTTTTTTATTTGCTACCTTGCTTGGTGCACCTTTATTTCAAATTTCCATTTTGAACACTTTATAATGTAAGTGTGCCTTGTTACAAGTTCGTATGGGTGCTTACCAAAGTGTAGCCCCAAGCCTGACTGATCAGTACAATGATTTCTTTAACAATTATTTTACAATTAATTTTATGAACAATAATTAACTATGTGAAGGATTGTGACTTTGCAAAACAAAGCTAAGGCTTGAGTATGAACATTTTATAACCATACTTTGCACCCATATCATATATTTAAATGTGTATTTAACAGTCTATTGGGCAGTTTATATATATGAGAATTATTTTTTTATTATGGAACCATCATTGCCCTTTTTTGTGCATGTGTTTAGCTAAGTCACCTTAATGTTGTGCACGTGAGGGGCCCTGCCTTTAATTTTTGTTTGGGCGGGTTATTTTAAAAAGAAATGTAAGGGAAAGGGTGAAATTGCTTATGCATGCTATCATTTAAATGAACCCACACACACACTGACACTTCACTTCATTAAGGTCAACAGGATTGGCAGGGGGAAGGAAAAGATGAAATGCTGTTTTGCTGTTGCAATTTTTTTCAGACTAAAGTTCTGTCTGCGTGCAAAGTACACCTGTCCAATTTGCAGTGTGATATTAAGCTAACATGGTTAACCCAAAGCCTAAAGAAATGGTAGACATCCTTATTTTTGTTTAAATCAAATTTATTTGGCTGTGGCTTCAAGTGCTTTTGAAGGGCTGAGCCACCCTTCAAAATTAAGTGGGTGCATCCAAAGATTTATATTGGGGAAACTATGCCAGTGCAGATATGCATGAAGACAAAGCCTGGAGGGCTCAATTAAAGGCAGTTGAGCATCTGAAGTAAGAGTGAGGGGTAGCAGCAACAGAAAGGCCTTGTCTACATAAAAAGGTGCATTGGTTTAATTGATAGTCCAAAGACTCTGTGGATGCATTAGTTTTGGTTTATCTCAAATCAGTTAGGAATTGGCTTAAGCTAAACCAAAAGAAGACACGTTTAAACCAAAGGAAGAAGGGGAAACTAACCTTATTCAAGTTCATGGGAGATTTGCCATGTTTCCCCATGTAGACATAGTTTAATTTTGATGGACTGTGCTGTGTGTGTTTCAGTAGATGTTTGTAGCTGCATTAAGGGATTCTTCAATTGCAGAGCTGTGATGGATTTTAACTTTTCTTTTACTACACTTCTTCCAAAAGGCAGTACCACAAGTGAACTTCACAGAGCTATTTCAATAACTATCAATAATAACCGCTGTATAACCATCACACCATCAGTGCTTTCTTTATCTCCCAGATTTGTCTTTTTTTGTTAGACTGTAGTTTTTATTTATTCTGCTTTTCTTCATCAACTCTCTCTTTATTAACATGATAATGGTGGAATCATTGATGAGGCAGAGCAATGTGACATCCACAGTACAGCAGAAAGCGTCTGGATAGTAGGGTTGCCAACCCTCCCAGATTGGGTGCGAGACTACCGGAATCGGCATCAATCTCCCAATGACTACTGAAAGCAATCCGGGAGATTTTAATAAGATGTGAACGGGTTAATGACATAACGTCATGTTGGCAAAAAAAAAATCTCCCTGAATAGCTTCAGAGTTGGCGACCCTACTTGAAGGGCAGTAATGGGCCTGAAGTTTACTACATGAATAGGGGATGGCTGGCAGCTCCCACAGTGACCCTGTTGGATTCTCATATTGCAAGTATCAAAAAACCTTAAACTTACCGACCCATACAGCTCTCCTCTCTCATTCATTCCAAGGTAGAGTCCTGAATCCACCCCACGGATACTAACCAGTCCCACTGCCAGGCTAATGAACTCCAAAATCCCTAGAAGTTAAAAGGAATCCAGATCATTCAGAGAACAAAACTGACACCATGTTCAAGTGATAAAAAGAAACCAGCCTTCCCTCAGAGAACACTTTACAGAGCTTCGTGTAGTCCCTATACACCTATTCTTGTCCAGCTCACCCAAGTGTAACTCAGTGACTTGAACTTTAACAGCCTCAGCAAAGTTTTGTAGCCTTACAAGATTCAGGAGTAATTGTTTTTTATTTGAGAAGTATTGCTAGCTTCCAGTCCTCCTAGAACAGGACAGTTAACGAGTAGATTTTGTATCTGATCCGCTAAATGTTCGTGAGCCTTTTGGAAGCCTCCATTATGATAACTTTAATTATGCGTGGAAAGAAAAGTGATTATTGTTCTTGGTGCGCTTCCTAGTTATGGTGAGAGCAGCAGTGTCTGTCCAAACACGGTGAGTCAGATCTCCAAAAGTGGCTTGGAAATCATGTGATGCTCTAAAATAAATTTGTGAGGAGCTTTATTCAATATTTCTTTAGTCTGAGGGTAATGAACCCCCCCCCCCCCCCACTACAACCCCCCAATTAAGAGTGTGCAGGAGCTCTCAAGAGTAAAAAATACAGGTACAAAGGCCGTTTCCTTGGCAGCTCAACAGGGAGACCCCTTCCCTTCCACTGCCTTTCTACCTTTTTCCATCTCTGAATGATGTCACTGTCCTCTGAACACCCTTCCTACCACCCATAAAGCTGTCCCCTGCTCTTCCCACTCTTCCTACGTGCCGCCATAGGCTCCTCGCAGTCCTCCATCTAAGAGGTCCCTGTCTAGCCTGCATGAGGGACACTTGCATGGGCCATAGCGTCATCTCACTGAAAACACTGGATGCGTCAGCCAGCTTGATTAAGGGCAGCTTCCCTGCTACAGGTAGAGAAAATGGTGGCTCTTTTAATGGCATTAGCTCTACTGACAGTAATAGCAGATGGTTGCCATTTTGAATAAGAGAAAAATAGCAGGTTGTCATCCTTTTATTATGAAACCAGTATAAACACCCCAAGACAGGCACAGCGGCAGTAATATTGCAAATGTTGGCAACACTGACATTAAAACAGAGCCCATTCAATCAAAAAATGCTGTGAGGTAAAAGCATGAGAGGTTTTTGGATCGTGTCCTGCTCTCCCAGTTCAGAGGTCACAAGCTCTTTTTGGGCTGCAGCCCACTGCTTCACTGCAAGAGGTTTTGGCTCCCCACTCCTCCATGCTTCTCTCTAAATGAGTGGGGGAGAAACGGCCAAGGCCAGGAGGTGTTTGCACCTTTAACGAGGCTCAGAGTCTATTAATACAGCTCCTACATGTCCAGAGCTGGGTGAAAGCACCTTGCTATCCCGGGCATGTTACCTCGTGCAGCCTCTCTTGAATGCAGTCCCCGAGGCGCTGCGAGAGGGATGTTTAGCCACCCGACTCCTGCTAACTTTAATAGGAGTCACAAAACCTGAAACTGCTCCCCTTCGTCTTGGGATGGGTATCACCTCTTGTAGAGGTGATCTCTTTCATATGGCATGGATGTCATAACTAAATATAGGGCAGCTACACCATGACAGCCACCTCCGCCCCCTCGAGCACAGTGCGACCTGTCACTCAGCTCTGCTGTACGCCTGTGTCATGCCGGTTGTCGTGAGGTAGGCTTCGCTCCCCCATACAAGATCTTTTTGTTTTACGTCCCAATCTGTCTCAGCTCTTGTGTTATTCTATCCACATTGATAAAAAAAGGACCTTTTTGCCCTTCTGCATGCCAACTGTGTATGCAGTTTCTATCTAATCCAATGTATCCCGTACCCCATCTACGGGCCCACAGAAGTTGGGGGCTGTTCTGGGGTGTTCAGGACTTTTGGAAGGACGTTCACTTTTTCTACGAGCTGAAATACTGACAGGAGCCAATATTTAGGCTCCTGGTTTTCCTCCGTTTTTGTTTCTTTGTTTTTACATCTTTGTGGACTAGCACTGGTATTTTGTACAGGTAAACAGTACATCTGCAAATATATTCCAGACTGGGAGAATAAGATACTGCTCCAGGCACACCTCTGCCCCAACAGTAGGTCAGTTGAATGTATATTTGACTCAACTGTACAATAGGAAAAATACAATTTTGGGGTTTTTTTCCCCCTTAGTTTCTGTGCTTTCTACAAACAGATATGTGAGCAGGATTGAGAAATCATTTGTTTTCTAGCGAGAGAGCTCCTGCCTTATATTTCCTATACTAGTAAGTGTCCCAGGTTGGAGACCAGTGTTCCCTACAGACAATGAGAGGGCATACAGGGATGCATGAATAACTACAGGTTTCCTTGCTTTATGTGGGTTCTGAATGTGTGAATTCGCTCTTATGCAATGCCCTTTTTTATACCAAAAATGTGTTATATGTGAGGTAAATTCACTCTTATGTGATAGGTGTGGTGGAAGCACAAAGTGAACTGCTTTGTGTGGTGCATTGTGGGAGTGACGCACACCGAAATATAGTCTCCTGTGTGGATATGTGCTCCTTGCTTGTTGTCTGCAACGCGTGTTTCTGTAGTTGCCCTCCCCATTATGATAGCGCCCTGTGCTTAGTTGGTGAGTACCAAAATTGACTTGTAAAAGTGGTAGAAATGGGTCTGGGGGTCAGTGCAGTCGAGGTCTTGGAACGTATCCTTATTTGTTACATTGTAAAGTGGGTTCCCTTTATGCGAATTCGAGTTATGCACCATTTTTCAGGAACGCATGCACAGCATAAAGCAAAGGAAACCTGTAGTTGGTACTCAGCAATGGGAAAGTGCTTTTGAGAACGCCCAGGGGCCAGGGTCTTGGCTGTTTTCTAGATTTGGAAAGGTATTCTACTTACTGTCATGTGTGTTATTGGATAAGCAGCATGAACTTGGAGTCAGACCCAGCTTCTGTTTCTGTCTCTGCCATTCATTCATTTTGTAATTTTTGTAGATCAGAGATTATTCTAATTATGTTCCTTTGTGACATGCTTTGGGAGTTTTATGTAGGTGTTAAGTACTGCGATAGCCTACCAGTTTGAATCTCTCTAGCTTGGAGACTTTCTGGCCCCTGGTTCTCATATTACCTGAACACCTCACAATACTTAATGCATTTATCTGCCTCGTGACTTCGGGATGTTCTGTTACACCGATTTCACAGATGGAAAACTGAAGAGCCTGCATAATTTTCTTAAGGTCAGGAAAGAAGCCAATGGCAGCAGTGAGAACTGATTCCCAGGTCTTCACAGATCCAGGCTAGCTTCCTAAGTACTGAACTGTTTTTCCTCTTTCTGAGTGGCTGAGTAAGCAAATGCTTATTCTACTTGGGGATAGGTGGCTACTTCTATTTTTGTAAGCACTTACATTTCTTCAAGTATGCCCATGGCAATCCCTTCTGACAATGTCACTTGTAAAGTTCCTTCCTCTTTTCTGATCTTTTGAGTGGCACTTACAGAAGTGAACTAAAGACAACTATGTTGAAATAACATTAAGAGTGTAACTTAAACCCACAGAAGTCAGGAGGCAGAGTGAAGGCTGAAAAATGTGGGCGGGCATCCATCCTGTCCTTAACTCACTCCATTTGCTAGACAAAACTGCAGCTTCATGCATGTGATCTCCACCAGCACAGGGAGTGGCCACTGGGGCTAGATCAAGAATTTTCTTTCGAACTGTTGCGGGGTGTTTTTATGGCAGAACGTGCTTTTAGTTTCCAGAACTTGTTTCTTCATTTGTGGCTTGATTATTTTTTTTTTTCCTCTTTGAGTCTTTCTTGGTAGTATTTTGAGAGATTTCACGAGGGCTCCAGTGAGATGAAGTGAACACCAAAGGACTGAATATTTAACCTCCTCTCTGATGGCCAGAACACATTCGCTGTTACATTACTAAATGAATCTTTAAAGAGCATTTCAGCTGGTTGCACCTGTCTCTCCTTGCACAACTATATTCATGTGCATAGGAGTAGAAAAAACATCAGTTGTACTAATGCCTGCAAACTTAAAGCTTCAGCTAAAAACCTCAACAACTGTTTAGTAACAGGTGCACTTGAGTGTAAATGTCAAAGCCTTTAGAGGAGCTTTCTTTACAGATTTCCCTAGCCTCTCAAAGAAACTTTATTAGCAGCTCTGTCTAGAGAGGAATTTGACTTGCTCTCCTCAGCACTCAGATATAAACTCCAGTAACTTCTGAAGTCAGTGGAGTAACGGTGGTGTAGAACTGGCATAAGCCAGAAAGGAATTGGTCCCTAGTGGCAAGGACATTTCCCTAGTGAGTCTAGCATGATTACATTCACAGAAGGATTTCTTACTGGGGAGCTGATTTCAACGTAAGAAACCCCAAACCCTTTCAGGCTTTCATATATTATCCCTTTGTCTGGTACAGAAAAGGTTCCTGGCAGACCAATGGGAACAAACACGTGGTTTCTAATACTTCCAGTTTCTCTATTATAGTTTAGACTGGTCTTTTAGGTTCAGGATACCATCTGGGAATTTCTCTAGCAAAACAGCTAGCTTTCTTCTACATCCTGGAGAATCACACTGTGGATCTGACCTAATTCTATTCAAGGAGGAATAAGCTTCAGCCTGTGGAGTATGTGTTTGTGAGGGGTGTATCTCATCCCAAACAGAGGAGCTACAATCCTAGTCAGAGAAAAAGGAATAGTTACAATAGTTATTTAAATATTCTACATAAATATGACACTGCCAACTTAATTTTGAATGGAAGGATCCCTTGACTCGCACTCTAACTACTCTCCCTTAGTCCCCAGAGACAAGGACCTCCACATCACATTGTACATCAACAGTGCTTTGGTCCGTTGTTTCCGTGTAAAGAAGACTGTTAATGCCTTGTGTGGATTTAGACTGTTTAACTTTTGGGATGGTCCGCCTTTTCCTGAATCCTGGCCAACATTACAAGATAGATAACAAGTCCAGTTCCACCCCTTATCCCAGCTGCAATTGGATAAATACTGTTACTGTGGTTTCCCAAAGAGTTATCCTTGGGGGAGAACTAACTTTGCTTATGAGATCAGAGTGCATCTTCCAAGACGGTGAGCCTGATCAAGCTAGCACTGAAAACTCAGGGTTTTCTAAATCTGTCTATAGAGCTGCCAGGAAAACATAAAACAAGGACCCAAAAGAACCCCTTCTGCTACTGTCTAGGTCCTTCACCGCGCCTGTCCACTCTCCCAGAACTGTGTAGTCTGCTTATTTCTGTAATAATTCACTTCTTTCTGGCGGCTGCATGCAAAATTCAGGAATGCATTGGTACATGAAATTCTAATGCAAACCATACCGGTTGCATTGGAATTTAAATATTCATGGCTACTGAATGCAGATGGTGAATACCATGTGCCAGTACATTATTACTTGGAGTCTCTGCTGCAGCAAGGCTCAGTCCAACTTTATCTGAACACAAGGATTCCAGTCTAATTATTTGGGGCCTTGCCCTGCAATTACAACAAATAACTATTTATTTTACACTGCTTTTGGGAAAACCCTGAAGCAGAAATCTATAATATTTTATATCTGAAGTCTGGACTACTTTACGTAGCAGGATGCCGACTGCTGAAACACTTATGGAATGCTAACTTATTGATTTTATTGAGCGTACTGTATGATTGGCTCTTAATCTGAACCTTGCAAAACTAATTAAAAGTTTTAGCTCATTTTAATGTGGAGTTTTGAAAATGTATTTAGAGACAACTTTATTTTAAGTTATGAGAAATGGAAAAGGGAAAAGTTCTCTCATTAGCAGCTGGTAGCTTCTTTGTATCAAGATATGTAAAAAAAGCCAGTAGAAAAGAACTGGGAGGTGGCAGAGGTAGGTTAAACTAAAGAAATACACAGATACAATGGACTTGATTCCAGTCCCCTTAATATGAGAAATGATCATGTGCTGCGAGATGAAAGAGAAAAGATATGTGTCTTTCGGGAGGTAATTAAAGAACACTTGCCCCATGAGCCTATTAGTACCTTACTCTGACCTGCAGGTTATGACTTTCTTGTTGATTTAGGCATGGATACACTACCTGCACCTGGTGTTTATGCAAGGTACAGTACACAGGATTGTTTTTTAATCATTTCAAAAGCCTTGCCTAAAACAAGAACAACAAAAATGTCCCTAAACTATTACTGCTCAGAGAAAGAATAGTAAGTCCTCCCTAAAAAACAATTCTGGTTTTGTCTTTGTTAAAATATGGCATGCTACAGCAAGTCACCAGAACATCTCTTGCAACCTGTTGACTATGCAGCTGAGATCACTGGCTTGGGACCTGTTGATAGTTTACACAGACACCTGCACCAGATGCCAAAGAAGCAGGAGTTTTTCTGAACTCCATTCAAACTTACTGTACTTGTGTGCCTGTGGCTTGAGATACATTTTTCAAAGATTACATAGAGTCTCATTTGAGATTTCGGTAATTGTGCGACAGTGATATAGACGCTGAAGTCTTTCCAGCTTTATCCTGAATGGTAGGTAAATCAGTAGTGTTCTGCCTACTGCCTTTTCTCTTTTCCTCCTTCTGAGGGTGAAGGCCACTTAATTTTTTTTCTCAACCCCCCTTCCTTCCCCCCCTCCCTCTCTGGCTCTGCTCCAGCAAACTGATCTGATTCTGCTTGGGGAGGGACACTTTTCAGGACCAGCCAAGTAAGCAAGAATGCCCCAAATCTGCAAAGCCAAGAAGACAAGAGCTCCCCGCACTTGGCTGTCTCTTCTTTCTTTTGCCTTCCTGGCTCCTGTGAACTGCAGAGGTTCAAATGGAGCTGGAGTGGCCAGCGAGCTGCTTTTTTATTATTATTATTTATTATTATTCAAGCATGTTTTTGGTGCACCTGCAGAATGACTTAGCACTGGGGAGAATAGGAAATTGAAAATAAAAATGCCCACATTTCTGGGGAGTGAGCGCATTTGTTTAGGATTCTAATTATATCCATCCCAGGGATGATTTATATTAATAGTGTAATTAGTTCTGTATGTGGGACAGGCGGCTGGGCTCTTTGAACAAGTTCATAAAGAAAACAGGCAGCTCCAGAGCCATCGCGTGTATGCAGCAGAGAAAAGACACCTGTTTCTTGGCCTGGGGGGTATCCCCCCTCCCTGGTACTTCTAGGGGAGGAGAAAAGGGGGTTAACCCCTCACTTGCTGGGGGGGGGGCGGGAGAAAAAATCGCAGGGAGGCATTTCCTTGGGTCCAGTGAGGGATGATACCACTACAAAGGCCAGAGGAATAAGCTGAGGCAAGCACGTGGCTTGGAAGCGACCCAAGTTCAGAGGTGTCGGGCGGCGTTAAGTGGGCGGTGAGTTCTGGGGTGTCCCAGGGACTGAGCCCGTCCCTGCAGGAGAGGACCCGGCACGAGTCATCACCTGCCCCCAGAGCCGCTTTTTTGCCCTAAGCCACTGCCCCTGGCTCTGGGCTTATCCGAGGCGAAGTAACCTGTTCCCGGAGCTCACCCTGCATCCCAGCCCCCGTGATGCGAGCCGAGCAAACGAGCCCCGGAGGGGTTTGCCTGGCGCTCCCGGAGCAATGCACGGAGTGCGGGCTGGCTCTGCTCAGCCGCGCGGGAAGGCGGGCTTGGCACATGCAGCAGTGCAGGAATGTGGAGGCAAATGGAGGTGAACTCCGGCTCCTCAACCTGCTTTTGTCCAAGCCCGCAGGGAAACCCTGAGAGCAGCCCGCTCCGCCGAGCACCTCTCCTCCCGCTGCTAATGCTCCCTGCCCCAAAGTGCGCGCGGGAAACGCCGGTCTTACCGAATCTGCTGTGATCCTGCCTGGTGCCATGCACCGTGCCGTTGGGGAAGATTTCCAGGTGGAAGCCCGTGCGGCAGTAGAGCTGCCTCCGCCTCAGGATGCCTTTAAGGTGGGCAAAGTCCGTGGGAGACCCCCTCTGCAGCCTTCCTTCAATCTGTCCCAATCTCTCGTTCAGAAACCCAGGAGAATCAGCTAGAGGGACATTCCCAAGAGAGGAGGAAAATCCATGCAAATCCAAATCCAGGGAGCCGAGGAAGCCCCCTACCTCAGCCATGGCAATAGCAGGGTGCGTGTCACAGTGCGGGTGAGTGTGAGTGTATGTGCAAACAATGGGACAAAAATTGCAGGTCTCTCTGACAAGAGTGTGTGTGTGTGTGTGTGTGTGTGTATTGACTGATCAGCTTGGAGCTTCACTGCCTTCAAGTAACTTCTCAGCCCTCAGCGTGTGCGATGTGAGCGCCTGACCTTGCCTTGATTAAAAGTATAGTTTTTCCTGTGCATTGATCTCCTCTTGCCTTTCATAGCTGGTTATGTCCAGCTATCAGATGCAAACTGCACTTTATATACATACACACTCCCCTTACATTGACATATTGGATATTTAAATGCAAGCCACACCTCACTGGCATCCCCTTTGGCTATTGCTTTTTTTTTTTTTTTTCCTTCTTTTCCTCTGATCCAATTGGCTCTTTTTTTTTTTTTTTTTTTTTTTTGGGGGGGAAAAAAAAAAGCTTCACTCCCTCTTTTATTATGAAAAAAAATGGCAGGAAAAAGCTACACATTGCACTGAGGCATAACAGCTTTTGGCAGGTTCTTGTAAAAGCGGTGATGAAATCCTGGAGCCAGCGTGTGCACCCCCGATGCCCGGGCTGGAGCCAGCACGCCGTGTCCGGCGGCGGGTGCCCGGCCGTCCTGCCCGGCTCTGATCGCTCCGGTCCTCGCAAACCCAGCAACTTTCACACAGCCAGCTTCCCCGTCCCCCTCTCCTGGTTTTTTTTCCACGATCGGCCCTTATTTAATCATATGAAAAGCCTTTCTCTAGTCACAAATCTGTATTTGGGGGGAAGGTTTCATTTCGTGAATCTGGGGTAGAGGACTAGGGGGTGTTGGAAGGGGAATATCTTCCAGACACATGTTTTTTTGCAACATTAGACCCATCTGTAAGTCCGTCCCCCCCCCTTCCTGCACAACAGACATTGTGGAAAGAAATAGCATGGGAGGAGAAGACTTGAGAAGCATTTTTTCAGCGGAATATGTAAAAACTGAAAGTGATCTTTTTGAAAAATGATCCTGCAGATTTTATGACTTGATTTTTACAAGCCACTTGAGAGGAGAATATATGGAAGGAGTTGCCAAGCCTGTTGTGGGCTTTCTCCCCACCTTTTTCATGTTGGAAACAGGTGTTTCCTAGCTCTCCCTTGCCCTGTGACACTGTATCTGTAACAGCAGCTGCTGGGGGAGCTGCAGACAGACGGAGTTAGGCACGGGGAGACAGGGGGACCAGAAAATGCGTGGAAAAAAAAAAGGGGGGGGGGGGGAGAGGAGCTTGAACCCTGATTTGATGCAATGAAATGGGCATTTTCTCCCAGACCTCTCCCTCCCCAGCACTCCCAGTCCCCGCCAGGCAGGGGGGCGCTAGAAGGCGCTGTTGCTCACGGTATGGTTGGGAGCGGTGCAGCCTCCCTGCACTTGTCCCGTGTCCGCCCTTGGGGAGGGAAGGGGGGAGCCTCGTGCAGGACAAAGGGGACCTCCCACTGGAGACCTGGACAGAGCCAGAGGAGACAGCCGCACATTTAACTCTGCCCTTGGGAAAGAAAAGGGGCCATAAGAAACACTATTAGCTGCAGGGAGCTGAAAATGTTGGAGAGTAATTTCAGGGTGGGGGGAGAATCCCCATTAATTTACGAGTCAGCTTTTTGGAGGAAAGTATTAACACTTTGCCTTTAGCATCATCAAATCTTAGAAAGTTAGGGTTGGAAAGGACCTCAGGAGGTCACATCTAGTCCAACCCCCTGCTCAAAGCAGGACCATCCCCAACTAGACTGTCCCAGCCAAAGCTTTGTCTAGCCAGGTTTTGAAAACCTCCAAGGATGGAGTTTCTGCCACCTCTCTGGGTGACCTAGTGTTTTACCACCCTCCTGGTGAGAAAATTCTTCCTAATATCTATCCTAAACTTCCCTGGCTGCAACTTGAGACCATTGCTCCTTGTTCTGTCATCTGCCACCACTTAAACACCACTTACTCCCCAAGAGACAGGCCTGAAACCTCACTGGGCATGCCTACATGTGTGCTTTAATGCACAGTAGCCTATTTTACTATCTATTGATGCATCACATAAAAAACCATGCACATTCATTACTGCATGTTCAGGCAACCTAATGCTCATTTGTTTAGTACTTCACACTGGAGGTACTAAATTTAATGTGTATTAGAAAAATCACCTTAATGTACATGTAGATGCACACACACACATGCTGTGAGGTTAGGGAGAAAATATTAACCCATTATGTGGATGGGTAAACTGAGGCACAGAAAGGTGAAGTTATTTAAAGACGCAGAGCAAAGGGAAAGGAACTCAGTAGCCCTAACTCCCAATCCGTGGCTCTCTACAACCAGGACAATACCCCTTTTCTTACATGAAATATAATAGCAACACAGTTAAGTAAAAGAGTATTTCATATGGATGGGAGGTAGATTGAAGTTTTTTATGAAAGGTATTCTTGGGGTTTTCTCTTTCAACAGTTATAACAGGGACTGGTTGGGGGGTGGCTTATTTGGTGTAGGTTGACATCTGAAGACTGAGAAGGATTTTTAAAAACCCGTTTTTTTAAAAACAAACATTTAAAAATCTGAAAGACTTAAAAAAATCTGTTACTGAGGAAGTAAAGTCTACATACATTTATTCCTTGTTTAATCATTTGTCTGTCTGTAGTCACAATGAGGAAATGACCTGGGTGGGGGGTGCAGAGTGTCTTAGCAAGGATGATGTTTTATTTTATTTGTTTATAATACACCTCTGTGAAGACTCAGATCTTGTAGCATACTTGAAAAGTTAGACTGACTGTACAAGACAAATGTGGCAATAGTCCAAGATAAGATAGAACTGAACAATCATTAAGAACCTAACCCTGCAAATGTTGTTGGGTGTATTGCTTACTGGATTTATAACGGGGTGTTAGGCTGGCTGTGAGCAGTCCCATTGCAACCAATGAGATAGAGTGGATAGCACTGAAGGAAATTTTGGCTCCATTAAATTTAATGGGTGATTCATCACTGACTTTACAAAGGGAGCAGGATTTCATCTTATTTTAGAAGGTAAGGTCTGCAGGGTCATGTCCCAAACGAATTGGAGGGCGGGGGGGAGCAGAAAGAAGGGCTCCTTCATATTACAGTTGATCCAAATTCCACCAAAGGCAATGGACATTTTTCCACTGACTTAAGTAGGCTTTGGATTAGGTCCACTATCTTTAAATCCAGTCCACAGAAGGGCTAAAGGAACATTTAGGAAATGACAAAGGGTACCAGGGTTCAATTATATTACTGTAAAATCCAGCATAAAAATAATATATATAACCCCCCCGCCCAATCCCTGTGCTTAACTAATGTAAAACAAAAGCAGGGAAATCCCCAGTTCTGGCTGACATTCCTCTTCTAACTCACGATTTTGGTTAGCTTTTGAAGCATCCACAATACAGTACACTAAGGAAAGTGCATAAGCCTAGTACATGTTCTATTCAGGCATGATAGGATGAAGGGAAGGGAACTTTTTCTTGTTCTTCTTTTTCTCTTTAATTGTGTATATTTGTAAAAGAGTAGAGAGTTGTTTTCTGTACTGTTTGAAATGTGTGTGTGTGTGTATACATATACACATATATACATATTTAAATTCACAGGGATGCAGTTGATTCCTTCAAAGGAAGAAAGACACACTTAGCTATTTTCCCATCAGTTGTATAGAACACAATTCTGTACTCATTAATGTCTTAAAAGAAAAGAGAAAATTATATGCAATTTGTGGCTCAGAATATGATTCATTACAGAATTACAGTGTGTCCCTGTATTATGTTATAGTGCAAGTAGCTCCCTCCAGGTTTATGTTCTGATTAAAGTGTGTATTGTCTACCTGGGGAATTGGAATGATTACAGCCAAACTGCTCTGCCTTTCAATTTACAGAAGAGTTTGCATCAATATTTATACTCAGTCAACCATAATGTACCTTTCAGAGCCATTACCATCTATTGTGGGAGTGTATGTTTAGTCAGGTAGTAAAACGACTAATGACATTTATTTGCAAAATAATTACTGTTCATGAGCACAGCCACAGTTGCTATCTCACCGACTAGTTGAACAATTAAAAGAACGTTTTGATTCTACAACTGATTCTTGCCATGACTAAGGGTCTGCCCATTGGTAACAAATTGCAGGACTGTGGTCAAAGTAATGAATAAGAAACAAATAAAATACTCAAGCCTTGTACTGTATACCCGCAGCTCAGGGTAGGTCCTTGTGAAAAAGAAATCATCAAGCCCCTGATAAAAATGTGTTACGGTAGCTTTGACCGTGTGCAAGAAATCCGATAAAAGAGCAAAACAATTTGGAGGATAAACTAGACTTCAATTTTATTATACAGCAGTAATACTTTTGATTTCCTGGCACATCCCATCCAAGAATGTCAAAATGCTTTACAAATGTTCATGCATTAAGGCTCTCAGCCTCCTTTTGTGAGGTAGTGAAAGAATAGGTTTTCTGAATGGGGGAGATTTTGGTTGACTTTTATTAGTTGACTTTTATTACCTTTTATTGCAGCAAATTGCATCATTATTATGTCCTGCTACTTGCAGCCCACCAGTCATAGACCTGCACATGAATGTGCTAGGCGCTGTAAGCAAGGATTTCTTAGGGTGAGATCTTTTATTGGACCAACTATGTAGCTGGGATAAAGTTAAAAGATTTCAAATGCAAGACATTCTTCATCAGGTGCTGTATAAACACATAGCAATAACACAGCCTCTGCCCAAGGAATTCTGCTGAAAGGATTTCTTTTGGCATAATCGACATGAGCTGGATGAGCAGGATTTGACTCAATATGATTTTTGGTGAGGTTTAGTATCAGTGGCTAAACCCAGATTAAAATCCAAGGCTAATGCTCTCAGCCTAAGGAGCCTACATCTATAATTAGGCTCGATATTTTTCCAAAGTGAAAAAATGCTGACAGCTTTCACTTAGATACCCAAACTTGAATCTCAAGTCCAGATCCTCAAATGTTTGTCTCTCTCTCTCTCTTTCTCCTTCTTTTCATCTCTCTCGCCCTCTTTTCCTCTCTCTCTTGCCCCTTCCTCCTCTCAAAACTATGGCAAAAAATTTGGTGCGCCGCACATTGTGCGGTGCTTTAAATTCCCCAGTAATAATTTGGTGTGCCGTGCTTTGCGTGGCACTGGGTTCAGCCCACTGGGTGTTGTAGCTTTGGCCAACATCACCTCTAGCCCAGGTATATGTCACAACCCAAAGGTGTGATTTTTG